CGTCATTGATGGGTACTCAATTATTTGCACACTTTGGAAACGTGCAAGTTTTATCAGTGTCTCATAAAGTTAAAAAGAAATAGAACACGGCCATCTAATCCCTAGTTATTGACCTAAGAGAACATTCATTCTGTAGGGACTGAGAAGTCTGTTTCGTGAGGAAGGATGGGATGCCTGCTTTGTGAAGATCACCCTCTTAGCAATACATAGGCTGAGTTAGCACAGTGGATTTAAATTATTGGACATTATTGGGCATCACGGAGTGTCAGTAATTATTCCAGAAGAGCTTGCTGAAACAAATTCTGATTTAGTAGTTCAGGGCTCAAACTCAGGAGTATATATTTTAATATTTGTGGCCTTTGGATAATATACTGAAGAAAAAAAAAGAGAGAGAAGTTACTTAAAAAGCAAAACCAACCAGTTAGGAGACTGTGGAAAGTATCCAGATGGAATGTAGAAAGGATCTCAACTGGAACTAGCTGTGGGAATGTAAAGTAAGGGTCAATTTTTAAAATTGTTAAGAAGGTATAAGTAGAAAAAAATTATGTCTAATTCAGCAAATAGACACTACTGAAGATGATCCAGGGTTTTGAATTTCGAGTTGCTGAATGCAGTGATACCACTCAGAAGGAAAATCTGGAAAGAACACATTTACTTTAAAAAGAAAAACACACAAAAAACTTGAATTTACCCTGACTTTTAAACACAAAGGACTTTAACTTAGTGGATAGAGATGGATTTTAGTGACCTCAGCATAAAGATGATAGTGAAAACTACCAGAGAATGGGTTATGACACCAATTAAAACAATGCTTTTGAGAAAGTAATTTTAAGGTCCCTTGAGGCCAACTTACTGCATTTTGCGTGAGCAGAGGATGAGTCAAAAAAGGAAACTGAAAAGTTCAGTCAAGAAAGAGGCGCATAAATAGAAGAGTGCACTTTACATTTTACAATGAAATTCCATAAAAATTTCACAGACAGGCATTGTAATTTTGTACAAACTGGGAAAAAGTGATCACGTGTTTTATTCATAATATATATGAGCTGCCCAGATGTCACCTCCTGGCTGCTTAGTCCAATATTCTTCCCTGCAGCGAATGTTCAACATACATCACTGCACTTATGAAAAAGTAAAACATTATTTCTCTATCACATAATTAAAGCATACCATATATCAGAATAAACAGGATTCTTTCTTGTTGCGAACATGATTACTAAAATAATAATCACTTGCTTATGACATTGGCTACTTCTGTATTGCAGGTGGAATCAGGCATTGCCTTGAATTTTTTTTAGTGAGAATGTGATGAAATAGAATAGGACTTTGCTTAATTTGTTGAGATCTCGAGTGGAAAAGAGTGTTTTAAATGAACATATCCTAACTATTCTTCTTCCATTAATATTCAATAATTAGGAAATTCTCATCCCTCATCCTCAGGAGAAGTAATTTTTTGTAGTTTTATACTTATAGATAATTCTGTGTGCTGCTTCCAAGAATAGTTGTATGGGAATATGAATTGGAAAAATGTCAATAAGGCCAGAACGTATTTCATTTTTAAGATATTATTTCTCTTTTATTGTTAATATCAAAAAATGAAGTAGATCTGCCTTAGATTCAGAGTTTATTTTATATATACATATAAATATATATATATTACTAAGCTGATATTTTAAATAAATGTTTTGCCTATCCTTATGATAATATTTAGACAGCCTTTATGTAGTCTTTCCTTTATTGTAGTACAAGTAGAGTCAGAAAAGGAAAAAGATTTCGTAAACATTCAGTAGGCAACTTGGGAGACATGATCACATCCTCTCCATGACTTCAACTTTCCTAGTATCATACCAGTTGCAAGAACAGCAATACGGTAGTCTCCCCTTAGCCACAGAGAACATGTTCTAAGACCTTCAGTGGGTGCCAGAAACCACAGATAGTACCGAATCTTGTATGTACTATGTTTTTCCTATGCATACATATCTATGATAAAGTTCAATTTATAAATTAGACACAATAAGAGATTAATAAGAATAACTAATAAAATAGGATAATTACAACAATATACTATAATAAAGTGTGAATGTCGTTTCTCTCTCTAAATATCTCACTGTACTGTACTCACCCTTTTTCTTGTGATGATGTGAGATGATGCAGTGCATGTGTGTGAATGAAGTGAGGTGAGTGACATAGGCCTTGAGAGGTAGCGTTAGCCTTGAACAGAAGCACTATGGTACCATGACAGTCAAATCCAATGACTGTACTGGCTACTAAGTAACTAACTTGCAAGTGGTGTATACAGCATGGATACGCTGGACAAAAGGATGATTCACGTCCCAGCGGAGATGCAGCGGGACAGTGCAAGATTTCATCAGAATGGCACACAATTTAAAAACCTATGACTTATTTCTGGAATTTTCCATTTAATATTTTCAGACCGCAGTTGACATTGGGTAACTGAAACTGCAGAAGGTGAAACCACAGATAAGGGGGACTACTGTATACAGCTGTGCTGGGACTAAGTGACTACATTAATTTCCCCAAGCTGATATATTTTGAGTGTGGAGCATCCAGGGTCTACACTGGTCTGCATTTACTAAGTATTGCTGGCCAAGAAAATTAAGATTTTTCCAGGTCACATGTATATTGCAATGAAATATTTACTTATTTTCTAACGTAATATGATTCTATCAGCAGGATACTGGTGATCCAGAGAGTTTCCAAAGGTGGACAAAGTAAAAGATCAGCTATTATTTTGTTTGTTTAAGATTTTTGTGCCTTACATTCAGTTATTCCAAGAAAATTATGAGTTGTAAATCTACAGGAATCTACTGCATTATCTCCTTTGCCTTTGGTGGTAAATCAACTCAAATGAGATTTGAATAAATGAAGTGGAATCTCTGCATGTGCATGCTTTGGGAAGAAAATGATGGTGATTACAAATACTCGAGAAGATTTCATCGGGTGTGAATAGATGTTCAGCTACATAGTAATTATATGAGTATTGTGGAGACTGGAGCTGTAGTAGCAGGAATTCAAAGAAGGCAAGCTGTTTTGCTCTAAAAATAAATCAAAAGAATTTATTTGAACCATCAACAGAGAAATAGTTTAGTTGAGCTGAATGGGAGTAAATTCACATTTTTAATATTTAAATTTGCATTGATGAGCACATCCATGCTATGTGAAAAATTATGTAAACAATGTTTCCCATTTTGCTATAACTACACTGACTTGTTTGAGTAGTCTAGCCAATTTTTCCATCAGTACTTTTTTTATATCTTCCATTCTCATTTTAACACTTCATTGCAAACATCAATGCATACTTTTTTTTTTGCCTTTCTAGTATAAGCTTCTTTTTTATTTTGTTTTTCTAATTTATTCCAAAACATGTTTCATCTTTTATTTTTGTATATTGTTTTTCATGTGCTTTGTTTTCTTACCTTCAAAGTGGCTTCAATATGTCTAATAAATTAGCAGAGTGTTTAAAACATCCAGTAAAATTTAGCAGTAAAGATAGTTACACGGACAGTAGAGGGCACACTTAATTATGAGGACTGAGATGTTCAAAACACTTGGGGAGTTGGGATTAAGGAAAAAAAGGAAGAAGGATAGTTCGATAGCAGTTGGTGAGTGATGTGGGATAAGGGAAAAAGCTACTGAATTTGTTAGAAAATTCTGGATCCATTCCTTTTGTGCTTCCAATAAGCAGTATGCCATTAAACAGATCATCATAATTCTTTCTTAGTATTCTTTTCTGGTTAATGAAGTCATCAACTTTAAGATCTCTTTCAGCTCTAGAATTTTATAATCTGTCTCAAAGAAGTAACTATGCAGGTATGACAAAGTCTTATTAGGCACCTGTTTTGCATGTAGTTTAACTGGTTTTCTTTAATTGCTGACACTCCGAACAGGAAGAGTTAGAGATAATTTAGTAACCTCTAGTTAGGCATGGGACTGTTGACTGCATATTGAGAGTGCACTAAGAAATAATTACCTTGAGTTATAGCAATGGTGAAATCAGCATTATATCCAAAAATGTCTCATTCAATGAAGATGGTATCAATTGTTATCATTCAGTATAACGCTGTGAGTTAACAGGCCCCTTCCAATAGATTAAAGAGTATGACTGTATTAACAATATGGGTCAATGCTTGACTTATTTCTCTAGTCTTGAACAGATTGTTAGGCCACATGTATGATAAATGTACTGTAATACAGAAAATCAATTACTGTACCCTCCAGTCTATTACATGGTGAAGCTATTAAACGTTTCATCGGGAAATTGCAAAGTACAGCTGAAAGGTTCTTTATTGTTGGGGAGCTGTCATTACTATAGTACTTACTAGGTATTTAACACCAGCTTGTAAAATCTGCCATGCCAGGTTTCACAGTAACCTCGTTAACATTGAGCATTAGTGAAACGATTTGGTGGAGGTGACAGTTTAGGGGGTGATAATAAGGAATAAAAGCCAAATGTTTTCATGGGGAAGACTGCATATGTCATCTCTACTGTTGAGATCTATTCATGATGCTGAAAAAAGAGATACTGACAATGTTTTGAAAAGATAAGTCTATTTTTACCTAGCCTTTAACTCTGTTTAAAATATGAAGTATATGTAGTCTGATTACACTTTCTTTAAGGTGTGTTTGGAATTACTTGAAAGGTGCAGCAGGTAAATTTTGTTCAAATGATTATCCCCAGTGAAATTCATCTCCAAAGACAGAATTCAGAGCTAAAAGAGAGGAGATGGAGGAGACAGATGGTGTTTATAGTGCATTTTAAACCTCAGCATTAACATTAAAACAGGAAGACTCAAGGCCTTGGCAGCATCCCCAAACCAAACTATTTTCCATTGATTGGTATGAGTCATTTTCTCTCTTTGGTGCCTGTATTTTTTCCACCATACACACCACTTAAGTACCAACAAATCTGCACTTGACCTTTTCATAGCTCCATACTGAGATGCCTACCATGGTGCTTCTAATTCTTGTCCATTTCTTTCCAGACAGAGCTTTTTGTACATGCCTTCAAGGATCAGCTGGTCAGGAGCGCTCTTTTAGCGCTGTACACTGCAAGGCCAGGAGGCATCCTTAAGAAACCACCCTCTCCTAAGAGCAGCACACAGGAGAGCAGTCCCCAGGACCAACCCCCACTGATGAGAAGGCAGGACTCCATACCACATCATTCAGACTACGATGAGGAGGAGTGGGTAAGACCCTTGCGCATCACTTTCCTCTCAAAGTTTAGCCCTGAGAAGTAAAACAAGAATGATTAGAAAGCTCTGCTTTTCACAAAAACAAAAAGCAAAAAACAAAACAAAACAAAAAAATTGGAAAGCAGTCACAATACAGATTGTGAATAAATAAGTCACATTTTTCCTTAGGGGAAAATTATATTTGGAAGTTGTATTCCTGATCAAACTTATTTGTCATAAAAATTCATTTGCTATCAAATAAGTCATATGTATAACCAAGAATATGTCATCAAAGCAAAGCTGCCATACTCAAGACTTTATGTTTCCTTGTTTATTGCCAAACTATATAAAACATTAAAATCGTTTTTTAGAAAAACAGTCAAATCATCCATATTACCACTGTGTGGATGCAACGAGTGTTTTCATTGTTGGAATCTAGTATTTAGTTCTGGGCATAGTTTGGAAAAATATGCACGTTTTAAATATCAGTGGACAAGGAGATCTCTTAAATCCCTCTTGCTCATGATTCTATGATTAAATAGGAAATGTTGCTCTGGGTGCTCTAAAATTGGCAGAAGGGTGGTCCTATAAAAGCATTCTTTTTAAAAAATAGCTAGTACAGGTGAATAAACAAAAGAAGCAAACATGGTCAGAGGAATTGTAGTTGGGCAGATAGGACGGAGGAACACAAAGGTGCAGGGTGGTGGTGGGCTGGGGCGGGCGGTGTGTTTTTACTGAATCAGTGCCCCTACCTCATCCGAGAGCACTCCAGAGGACATGCAGATCTCACACACACACAAAGGGAAGCCTTTACGGTATCATATGTTCAACCAAAAAAAAAAAAAAAGAAGAAAAAAAAATAGTGTGCTAGCTGTTAGATGTTAAGCTTTTAGTTAACAATGACTTTTCTTGTCACCCTAGAATTTAAGAGTGTTTGGGGAGTAAATTATTGGAAAGGCCAGGTCTCTCAAAAATAAATCAGTAATAAAAAATAAAAACTTGCCATCTGAGGTGAGGCTTTGCTCTTTCTGTTAGTACAATTTCTATCACAAGAAGGACAGAGCTGGGTCTAAGAGGTAAACGCTGAATAAGTGTTTGTTGTTGCTGATTAAGACTGAATTTCTCCCACGGAAGCCTATTCTAAAGAGCAAATCTAGTATTTCTCCCTTTTTCCTTCACCTTCTTCAATTTTTTCACTGCTCCAAGGCATGTGCACCCCTTAACCTCTCTGAAGGTCAGTTTTCTCCACTGCATAATGAATATAATAGCACCTGTTCTGCTTAGCTGTTACGGTGGTCGTGAGATAAATGATTCACTATGTGAGGATGCTGCATTACCAGAAAGGCCTAGGCATGTGCAGTGTGTTACTTTAGTAGGATTGGCATATGTTTTCTTTTTTAAGGAATGTCAATTGGATAATCTTATTAGAGGATCAATAATATCCCTTGAGATCAAGGGGGGTGGGACTGAATATATCACAGAATATGGATTGTGAATTTTATTTATTTATTTGTATATTTTGTTCTTTATTTTTACAGCAGTTTTAGGTTTAACAGAAAATTGAGCAGGGAGTTTAGCTAGTTCCCATATTCTTCCCTCATTCATGTACAGTTTCTCCTGTCATTGACATGTTACGTTAGTGTGGTACATTTGTTACAATTATTAATCAATATTTATGTATTATTATTAACTTAATTTTATATTAGGGTTCCCTCATTGTATATAGTTCTATGAGTTTTGTGAATTTTAAAGTGTTTGGGTGGGTATAACAAAGAAGTTATCTTTCATTTAATTGAACGTACAATGTTAACCTTTTGACAAATAATGGCCATTTTCTATTAAATCAAGTAAGAATTTTGGAATTGAGTATCTTTTGTTTTCATCATTTTCATCTCAGTTCTACAAACCCTACTCTATACCTTGGCCTCCTCCTACTGTTCAAAAATCATCCCTCTCCTTCCTTCCCTCCTCGTTTCCTTTTCTTTAGATAATTTTTGAAACCTTCGATCTAGTAGGTGTTCCAAATGGGAAGGTAAGTAATGCTAGATCCTTACTTCTTGGAGCTCAGAGTCTAGAGGTGGATGAAAATATGTTAATAGTTACAAAACGTTGCAACAAAGGTGGAGAGAGACAGATGACGGAAGATAGCCTCTGCTAACGTTACTTCTATTCAGAATTTTAAATACAGAACTGTCTTATGATGGGTAAAGAAGGCAGAGAGTAGGAAGTGTATACTAAGTTGAGACGGCTCATGGAGAACCGTTCCCTTCAGTCAGTGTCACTGAGCACCTGTTCAGCCTGACTCACTGTGCTACATGCTGGGGACACAGGGGAACAGTTACTCACAGCCTATTCAGGGCTCTAGAAAGGCAAATGACAAGTACAATGCAGCCTTAGAGGTGTACCCCTGATACAGCGGGAATGTGGTAGTCATGGTGGGATTTCCAGCAGTCAAGAAAGTGGATGAGGTGGCCTTTTAGACAGAAACGGAATAGCTACATACAAAGACAGGTAGTTGGTGTGTGTGTGTGTGTGTGTGTGTGTGAGAGAGAGAGAGAGAGAGAGAGAGAGAGATTATTGTTGGCTGTATAGTTGTTTCATTTTAAAGCTGGTGCAATTTGAGCATGTTTCTATTCCAGAGGCCATTTGAAAGGTTCAGAGGTGATAATGGATGGACCAAGGTCCTTAGAAGAGAAGGAAGGAATCAATTCAAATACTAACAGGTGCAAGGACAAGTCCTAGGCGGAAGTGCTGTCTTCTGCTGAGACTGCAGGGAGGATGTGAAGGTGGACTTGACTTTTGTGAGGGTGGGTGGGGCTGGATGGCTGCCCCTGCATCAAGCAGAATCATGTGCTGAGAGAATGGGACGGGCAGGGCAGGCAGGGAGAGTGGTGGAGGTTTCAAATAGGCACCAAAGAAATGGGTGGTTAGCAACGTTTGAAAAAGAAAGAATTCCAGTTTTTGTGAGGGGCCAGCCAAGACTGAGGTATCAGTCTGCATGGTTGTTGGCTCACCCTTGGTCATTCTCTTAGGAATACTTTAGTAATTCCTAGGAAAGAAAGTCTCGATTTTTTCCCAGTTAATGAAGGAGTGTCTTCCAAGTTTCTCCTGGTTTCTTCTAAAGGCAAAAGATTAGGGCGATAATGAAGGTCTACATCTCTCTCTGCATCTCTCTCTCAGCATCATTTCTAAATCTCCTCCACAACCCATTGTTTCTAGAAAGCTTATAAATGCTTTGGCTAAATTTACCGCAATTACAAGGAAAAGCTTTCCCACTCAAGAAAGTTATTTCTTTTTGAAACATAATTGATTGTACATATCTGTGGGGTACAACATTGAAAAAAGATACTTCTAACTCTCTCCTCCTAATATAAATGTACTCTTTTTACAAACAATAACCATGTTTCATTGTTATGTAACATTCTAATTGATTTTCTTTAGCAATCACTTTATAGTAAAAAGATCTTTTCATCAAGGGATAGGAACCTCTTATAATAAGACAAAATTTCACCAGAGTCATAACCATTTAGCATTATTTTCAAAACTTTATCCAACTTTGACAAATTCAGTAAATCCAAAGAAAATATAGCTAATTAAAAATGCCTTTAGAGACTGTGTTATTAAATGAATTGGAAACATAACTTTGTGTACCCCTTTTCTTAATTCGTTGTTAGAAAACTTTTAGCACTGATTACAAGTCTAGTCAACTTCTGGAAGTAACTCAGTGTTTTAAATTAATTTATTTGGGTGTCTGTGAAATCATGTGAAGATATTCCCTGATCAGTTAAATTGGTTTAAGTTTGCACATAAGATTAGAGTAGTTTCATTTTTAAAAAATCTTTTTGTTTTACTTAAAATCTGACTGTAACAGTTATCTAACTTGAAAACTGCATTTAGCTTCTTATAATAAATATTTGGAAAATGAATACATGTTACTGAATTACTCTTGAGTTCTACTCTCCTGATGCATGTAACAACCTTTCTTTTGAGGTAAGGAAAGAGAATCCCTGCTATAAATCTGGGTGAGGCTGTTCTTTCTCTTTTCAACTTGTTTTGTTGACAAAATTGATGACATGTGTATCTGAATAATAATTATCTAGTCAATAAAATAGAGTTTGAAACTAAAATGAGTACTTACAAGAAAATATACTTTCTGAATTTTACTTATTAAATAATTGAAAGCCTTAAGGGCTTATTTTTTCTGAAACGTTAGTAAGCAATTAAACCCTAAAGGAATATTTAGGATTTTATGACAATCAGTGCCAAGAGATAGACTAACATAGCATTCTTCATCTTTTATCCAGTAAAGATGACATACCACTTTTCTTTCTCTATGTCCCTATAACAGATGCTTCCAGCAGCTGGGATTCCAAGATTAGTTTGTCCAAAATATGAAAAGTGTGTCATCCGACCAAACTATTAGGATGACCCAGTTTTTGTGGATTTCAGTAATTACACTATTCTCTAGAACACTGTGATTTAATTTCAACATTATTACACTGATGGATTTGGGGCTAAATCTGCCTATCTCTATTGAAATAAATTATTTAAACAAAAACTCTTCATCCTTTATATTCTGATCCATTCCAGCACAGTGCAGCACTAGGAAAACTATTCTTACTTTTTAGTCATATTCCAAACTCATTTCTTAATTGAACTACATTTGTATATCAGGCAATGTTTCAGCATGCAAATTTACCAATTAATTCCCTTCTCCATGTTGCAAACATAAACCAAACTTTAAATTTTAATCTCCATTCTTAAGCTAGGAAAACATTTGCTATTCCTTCTTACAGTAAATGTATGCATATCACATAGCACAATGAATGATCCACCTTAATCCATAATAATTTTTCAATAATTTTATAGACATTAGAAACAATAGCACAAATTCACAGTAATTTTTATGTCAAATGTACTGTTTAGTAAAGTCCATACATAACCTGAAAATTTTGTGGATTTTCTGCAACTCAATACAACCAAAGATTGTGGTTTGGAATAAGATTTATAGGAAC